ACCAAGCTGGATATCATCTAAATGTCCATGAACAGATGAATTAATTTTTAATGTGCTATATACACAGTACTTAATAACAACAACAACATATACATACAATGGAATATTATTATTCAGCCATATAAAGAAGTGAAGTCCTGATGTATTCTACAAGGATGGACCTTGAAGACATTGAGTGAAGTAAAATAAAATAAAAGGACAAATAATTACATGACTGACCTCACTCATATGAAATAGTTAGAATAAGCAAATAGATAATATAGACAACAAAGTTAATTAGTGAGGTAGTCCTGGTATGGCGCTGCAGGATAATGCACTGGACCACCAGGTTGGCTTGAACCGTGAGGCAGGTGGTTCAAATCCACCAATCACTCCTCGGAAACCCTGTACAAGGTCACTATGAGTCAGAACTGACTTGATGGCACTTAACAACAGCAACAACAAGGGTATGAGGGATAGCTGGTATGGTGCTTGCTGTAGTAGGATCAGCACCAGACTTCAGGCCACAAGGTCGGCAGTTCAAACCCACCAGCTGTTCCTTAGAAACCCTATACAACATTGCTATGAGTCAGAATCTACTCAACAGTGCTTAACAGCAACAACAGGGGAAAGAGAGTCATTGTTAGGAAGCATTGAGCTTTTGTTGATGGTGATGGAAATTTGGCAGTGCATATTGGTGACGGTTGCACAACATGATTAATATAACTGGTGTCATGCAATTGTACATGTTTTATTTCTGTGTGAGAAATGTTAATTGGAAGGTATTATGTTATACACTGTATGTTATACCTATATATTACAATTTAAAAAAATCACATTTAGCCCTTCGTTTAATACAAGGGCTTCAAACAATTTGTGGAAAAATTCTATTATCCCACAAACTTTTTGAAGCCTCCTTATATACAGTTGAAATTCAGTACTGCATAACAGTGATTTAGCATATTTACATGTAAGATTAAAAATTCTACATATTAAATAATTTTTTTGTATATATGCAAACTGCTATATTTTCTCAATAATTTTTTCATGAAAATGCTAAAAGTAGAAACATTTGTATGTTCCAAAACAAAACTACTGAAATAACTTTATATATCAACACATGATTGTGGTAATCTTATAAGAATAATTATTTATCGTTATATATAATTGAATAGCACAGCTCAAGCTGTCTGAAAACATAGCCCAAAATGAATTCCTAAAGTCCTCCAAGCCATGACTGTATGTCTACAATGAAACATTTTTAATAAATGCAGTATCATGTATATCATAGAACTACGTTTATGATGTTGTTGTTAGATGCCGTCAAGTCAGTTCTGATTCCTAGTGACCCTATGTACAAGCGAACAAAACACTGCCTGGTTCTACACCACCCTCCCAATCGTTAGCCTTGAGTCCATTGCTGCAACCACTGTGCAGATTTATCTCATTGGGGGTCGTTCTCTTTTTCTCTGACTCTCCTATTTCACCAAACATGATGTCCTTCTCCAGGACTGGTCCCTCCTAATAATACGTCTGAAGTATAAGTGACAAAGTCTGGCCATCCTGGGCTTCTAAGGAGCACTCTGGTTGAACTTCTTCCAACACAAATTTGTTTGTTCTTTTGCCAATCCTTGGTACTTCTAATGTTCTCCTCCAACACCATAACTCAAATGCATCAATTCTTCTAGGGTCTTCCTTATTCATTGTCCAACTTTCACATGCATATGAGGCAACTGAAAATACCATGGTTTGGGTCGGGCGCACCTTAGTCCTCAAACTGACATTTTTGCCCTTCAACACTTTAAAGAGGTCTTGTACAGCAGATGTGCCTAATGCAACAATACATTACTGGATTTCTTGACTGCTGCTTCCAACAACATTTATATTCCTAAATAATGAACTTAACTTTAATTACTATGGCAATCTTTCAATATATATGCAGTAAAAACAAAAAACTCACAGAATTAAGCATAGTCTGAATTTTTTTAAGCTACAAAATCATATTAAAAGGAGATTCTACAACCTGTTGCTAAGAACTAAGAACCTAAATATTGAACATACTAAATACATGTAAGCAAATTGGAAACCTGAGAAAGGGTAATGAATACCAAATAAGGTAATGTGTGAAAAATCTAACATTTCAGTGCTAATATTTCTGCATCTTAATAGTTTCATTGTTACTATAAATAAACTTCACATGTAGGCATCTGAAATTACCTCAGAGAAAATTTTGGATTAAAAAAAAAAAGGAATACATACTATAACTTTTTGTCTTTCATTCTAATGTCATTATAGATAGCATGAACTTTAAATGTAAGTTAAATGCAGATCAATATCTTTGAACACGTTTCCTCAATATAGTTCATATGTTTCTCTATGAAACTTTGATAATTAGATTAACATAGATGGTACTTTAATTAAAGCAGTGACATTATAATTAAAGTATGTGATACTTTAATTAATGAGAGAATGTTGTTGCTGTTGTTAAGTGCCGTTGAGTCAGTTCCAACTCATAGAGACCCAATATAGGGTTTCCAGTGAGCAGCTAGTGAATTTGAACCTCCAATCTTGTGGTTCAAACCGACTTTGTGGTCCAGTGCTTTACCCCACAGCAAACAGGCAAAATCAGATCAAGATGGGTGGAAAGGGCCAAACAGACGTGACAATCTCTAAGAAAAAAGTGTACTGTAGGGACAAAGACTATGAGCAGATCTTGGCCAAGTCATTTAAATTCCGTGAGCCGCATTCTCTTCATCTGTAAAATTTAAGCAATAGCTGCTCTCTCAAACTCTTAAGGATCAAATGAGACAATGTAAAAACAGTTGGCAAACTGCAAAGTAGGGTATATAAGCCAAAATATCTCAAATTTCTAACAAAACCATGGCCTGTTCACTTGAGTACTCCTCTAATTTTGATCAGCTAGTGATAATTATGCAAGAATGGAACAAAATTTGATATGAAAAGAAAATCTCTAAATTTTGACTTCCAGAATTTTGGGGAACCCATACTGCTTGATGGAACTTGGACTACCTCTTGCCACTTCCTAAAGGTAACAGTGAGCAGGCTTCTCAGAGAGCTGGGTTCCTGGCCTTTCCTCACCCATCCCCTTCACCATCTGCTAATATAGCACACACAGTTTCGTTACTAGAATTGTATCCTGTAACAGTGTGAAAGAGGCCAGAGCACACAACGAAAATGGGCCGCTGAGGCCCATTACAGGCATCTTACTCAGCTTGACACAAATCTGAATGGATCCATGACCCCTATGAGGTTCTTCCTTTCTTAGCCCACAAAGCCTTCCACTGTGTGCACATGGTTCGACTAAAAACCCCAAATTGCCATGGAGTGGATCTCTACTCAAAAGAACGCTACAGGGCAGAGCAGAACTGTCCCAGAGGGTTTCCAAGGCTGTAAACCTTCAGGGACTCACGCGGCCACAGCTTTCTCCCATGGGCCTGCTGGTGGGGGTCTTGTCACCAACTCCAGCGGCTGAGTGCTTTACCCATTGTGCCACCAGGGTTCATGGAAATGGTTCTAGGCCAGCGTGTTCCAAATTGTGTTCTGAGAAACACTAGTTGGTGAGATTTCAACAGGTGAAATGAGGCTTGTGTTAAGACTGGAAACATAAGGTGAACAGATGTAAACACTATAGGATCCCTCAGGCTCTTTGAGGCACACTCGAAAGGAGAAGGGAATGTGCAGCTCTCTCAGACTTGTCTGGCCAGAAAAGCCGTCTTTCCCCACAAAATATCTAAAGAGGCTAATAGCTCGGGAATGCTTTTTGGGAAATGATGCTAATTCATTCTGGTTCTAAACTTCCCAGAGTAGAGTCTAGCATAGTTCACCTGTTAATAATCTAAAGGAGGAAACAGGCCGTCTACCACAGTAACCTTCAGATCCCACACCAGGAGCATCCCTTCCAAAACAATCTTTGCTACAGATGAGGAACTCTAAGAAGTTCTTCTCATGTCAATGAGAATGATCATCTTCCTAAGGAAATCTCTATACTCTCCTCCAAAACATTAAAAATATAAAGATCTAATTATTGATAATAGAACCTAGAATCACAATTACTGTGAAGAGGTAGGAGGGTTTTACCACACCACCACTGCAATTAACACTATATGTGTGTCAAAGGAGGATAGGCATTGGACTCCTAACTACAAGGTCAGTGGTTCAAATCACCAGCTGCTCCTTAGAATCCTTATCCAGGGTCGCTGAGTCAGAACCAAGTTGACAGCACTTACCAGCAATGTAGCAGTAAAGGAAGTGCCATGGCTCTGGAGGATGAGTCCTGGACTGTGAATCACAAGGTCAGTGGTTTGTGAAAACCAGCTGCTCTGCTCTGTAGGAGAAAGATGAGGTTCTCTGCTCCCACAAAGACGCACAGCCTCAGAAACCCTATACATGGTCATTAAGAGTCAGAACCAAATCAATGGCATATAACAAGAACAACCTAACAATAATGATAATTAGTACTGGGAGTAACAGTTTAAGCATTTATGTCTTAACCCTCATACCCACTCTATGAAGTTGCTGTTAAGTGCTGTTGAGTCGGGTCTGACTCATAGCAACCCTGTATAGGGTTTCCAAGTAAGGGCTGGTGGGTTTGAACTGCCGACCTTGTGATTAGCAGTCCAGTACTTCTCCTACAGTACCACACAGGGCTCTACTCTGTTAAGGATTCCACATTCCATTACACCCATTCTAAAGATAAGTACACTGAGGTTTCAAGAGATTAATGGATTCACCAAGAGTCATAAAAAGTAGTAAGGACAGAACATCAAACTTAATCTGATCCTCATCTCATGCTCTTACTCACTACATTTTATATTTTAGTGATAAACTCATCCTGATTACACACTGATTGTTAAACAAAAAAATTAGAATGTATTTCTACAAATAAAATTTGATTGAAATTTGGTTTGGTATTCCTTTTAGCCAAATTCCTACCTATTCCCTTAAAGGGGTTATGTTGGCTGTATGTGTGGGGGGATGGGGAGTTTAGAAAAAGAGGGTAAAAGCAGAGAAGAACAGATTACTATTTACACATGACACGTTTAGGAATGGACAGGGATTTAAAACTCTGCATCCAGTGTGAAGACATTGTCTGTGGTTTCCGTCATAACTGCAAAACGCTGATATTCGGAAACTCGTTTTTCAAAGAAATTTGTTTTTCCTTCCAAAGAAATATTTTCCATAAAATCAAAGGGATTTTCTGCCTGAAAAACCTGAAAAGAAAAGAAAAGTTATTACATATTCTGAAGTACACAAATTATATCCTACAAAAAGAACGGTGGGTGTCTGAAATAACTAGCCACCTAGGATCTCATTACTTCCCAAGGTCTGGTGCCACCACCCAAAGTCAGGCTGAGACAGCACTCGGGCTAACAGTTTTGACATGACTGAGATCATCCACTAACTTTGCCAAGAAACTAAACTAAACTATATACGTGTTGAAAATACTTACTTTGAATAGGTGAACTGTATGTATGTTACGTGAACTATGTTTTAATAAAGCTTTAAAATGTATGTATATGTTTTAAAAATTAAATGCTATGAGTGTCTGAGTTGTGGGATTTCTGCAAAATTTCCTGTCAGAAATTGTTTGTTGAGAGTGAGTGAAAAGTTGCGTTACAATGCACAGCAAGATCCAATGGAAAGAGCACCAGACCCACAGAGAATGGCTGAGTTTTGGAAAGGAGACCTTTAAAAAAATCTGATCTAATTTATCCACACACAAAGTAACCAAGACCTCCCTAAGTTAAATGGCTTGTTCTTGACATTCGTTGCTGTTGATAAATGTCATCAAGTCCATTTCACTTCACAGAGACCCTATCTAGGGTTTCCAAGGAATGGTTGGTGGGTTTGAACTACCAATCTTGTGGTAAGCAGTCCAATGTTTATTCTATAGTGCTATACCAGGTCTTTCTGGAATAATGAAAGCACTCAAATATTTATATATTTACATTAAACTAAAAGAGAAGTTAATAACATCATTAGCAGGACCCCTATTTTAAATTATGTATAAATGACAACAATTTGATAACTTAAGGAATCCCTTATTTTACCAAAAACTGTCATTATAAGAATAATTCTTCTAGCTTCTTGAGTTAAAGTTTAGTTCATATGTTTTTTAAATTGTTTTGTTTTCTTAATATATGCCTTCAACACTATCATTTTTCCTCTGAGAACTTCTTTGGCTGTATTCTCCATGTTCAGATATACAGTAATCTTATCATTTATTTCCAATTAGTTTATGTTTTAATTTTTATTCTGCTCATTTTAAGTGATATATTCTCAATTTCTAAGTGGAAGGAATTATTTTGGTTATCAAGTAGAAGGAATATTTTGGTTATCTTTTCTTGTTAATTTTTTATTTAACTGCATACAACAAGAGGTCTATTTAATTTCTGTTGTTTGGAATTCACTGAGATATTTTTGAGGCCTGTGGAAGTTTTACATTGTGTTCAGATTTTCTACTGCAGGAGCCACAAGTTACATACCTACAGTTAGCAACCTCCCAAAGGAAAAACTAGCAGTTTCTAACAAACAAGAAACCAAGGATGTGTGGCTTGAGGATAGAGTAGAAGGTTAAAGGGCAGTGAATTTACTTTAAAGTTTTATGTAAGCTAATTAGATTTCCTGTAACATGCATATTTGTATAATTTGTACACAAATGTATTTTTTTACAATTATAATCCTGATTTATCTCACTAGGTATCAGCAAACAAAGAGACAATCTTGCAACTAAAACAATAAAATACAGTTTAACTTACTAAAAAAAACCTTTGTCCCACCTGACTCCTCCTCACAGTACTTCTGTGGTTTTGAGAACATAAATGCTTTACCAAGAAAGATGCTGTAGGATAAGCACTTGACCATTAGGTCGGTTTGAACCACAAGGTCGGCAGTTCAAGTCCACCAGTCACTCCTAGGAAACCCTATATAGGGGCGTGATGAGTCAGAACCGACTTGACGGCACTTAACAACAACAATAACAATGTTTACCTAAGCATCATGGATGCGATATGGCTTTTCAATAAATACAAGTTAAACTTATGTGTACTTGTGAAGAGATCATAACTTATCATTTCTAGTTGTTGTTAAGTGGGTTTCAATCGCTGAATTTGCAGTTGGCAGTTCAGTATTTAACCTACAGTGCCATGCCAGGACTCCCCACATAGTTTAATCAATAATAACTTTTTGTGACTATTCCACTTATGTTGATTACAACCTAACTATTTAGTGTGCATTTACCATATGTCTGGCACTATTTTAAATGCTTTAAAATTATAACAATTCATTAATCATTTGTTGCATTATCATCTTTATTTTATAGATAAGAAAACTGGGATAGAAATTAAGCAGTTTGCCTAAGGTCACATAGCTAGAAATTGGTTGAACTAGGATTCACATCCAGGAGTCTGGCTGTTGGTTCTATAGCTTTTATCATGTGAAAGCCACATGTCTTCATGAAAGGCAGGTGTATTACTTCTGGGAAACAAATGTCAGAAATAACTTCAAATTAACTGAACTTAAAGGGTAAAATTATGACAGGTAATGTGTTCCTAATAACACTATTTAAATGTTAAATCAAGAATTACATTATAGACACAAGAGGATTTACATGATAGAAAACACATACAAATACAAGCCAAATCAATTTAACTGAAGATAATCTTATTAAATAACAAAAATAAACTATTCTTGTAAAGTCAATTCTGACCCAAAGGAACCCTGTAAGACTGAGTAGAACTGCTCCATATAGTTTTGAGAGCTGGAGTCCTGGTGTGGCACTGTGGGTTAATGCATCAGACTGCAAAGCCATTTGAACTGCAAGGTTGGTGGTTCAAGCTCACCAGCTGCTCCTTGGAAACCCTATACAGGGTCACTATGAGTTGCAACCGACTCAATGCCACTTGACAACAACAACAATCTTTATGAAGTCCTGGTGTGGCGCTGCAAGGTCAGTTTGAACTGCAAGGTCAGCAGAAACCCACCAGGCGCTCATCAAAACCCTATACAGGGCCACTATGAGTCAGAACTGAACTCAAGGGCACTTAACAACAACAATCTTTATGGAAGCAGACTGCCACATCATCTCCCAAGGTGTAACTTGTGGGTTTGAAACTCAACCTTTAGGTTAGCAGCTGAGTTATTAACCATTACACTTCCAAGGCTCCCAATTATATTACATGTTGTTGTCAAGTGCCGTCAAATCGGTTCCGACTCATAGTGACCCTGTATGGGGTTTCCAAGGAGCGACTGGTGAGTTTAAATTGCCAAACTTGTGGCAATTTATCAGCCTCCCGCTTCTGTTAAAATTTCGTTTTAAATTTTAAAGGATTTTGTACATTGAATTTATTCATGTAAAGCATGTTACACATGCTTTACATGAACTATAATACTTTAGGGGTCTCACTTGACTATTTTAGTTACTAGTACACCATGTTTAACCTGTTACCTTTGAAAATCCGAGTTCCACAAGTAATCTGTCTGCTACAAACTCAATGTATTGTTTCATCAACACACAATTCATTCCAATGAGGCCAACTGGTAAGGCTTCTGTTAAAAACTCCTGAAATAGGAATAAACACAGGACAAAAGACAGAGATACGACAATGAATAAGTGAGCATTTTCCAAGAAGGGGAGCTTTCGTTTTAAGTTTTATTAATTTTCCAAGACACTCAAGGAAAATATACTAGTATGAATTTTTCAACATGGCAAGTGATATCCATTTGCTTTAAAATACCTGTGGTATCACTAGTCACATTATCTCACAAGAGTCAAAATACTGTTAAATTAACTAACAAATTGCTGTTATTTTAAACAAGTAGCACAATGAAGCCTTGAACTCACATTGTTTCTCAATAGGAAGAAAGAGGCGCTTTATTCTGAAATATCCAATGGAAGATTTACCTTTGCCCTACATTCTAATTTAGAATCATCAAACATGATTGCCATGGGCACATGACTAGGGAAGACAGGAAAGAGAAAGCTCAATTTATTAAGAAAGCATATGAGACAAAAACAGAAAGGGATCAAAGGGAAAGAGAGAAACTGAACTCCAACTAAAATGAAAGACAGAGGTAAAGCATTAATGTACTAACCACTTCAGATTTAGTTCTCAAAATGATTAAAGACACTAAAATGTGTTTTAAGCCATTTTCCCTTCCCAATATGAAAAGTGCTCATAGTTAACTAACGCTTTAGGGATCAAGGTCACCCAGAGACATGTAAGAAGAAAGCCTGGCAATCACTTCTGGAAAATGAGCCACTGAGAATCTATAGCACACAACTCTACTCTGACAAGCATGGGGTTACCTATTAGATGGAACTGGTTTGTTAGTTCGTTTGTTCAAATATGAACGCTGATCAATAAATTTGTAGTGTATAAAAAACAAAGTTTGCTTTGCTTTCTTTTTTTGAGACTTTTTGTGAAATGAGTGGAGGTTTACAGATCATCAGTTTTAGATCCAACAGCCCACACTCTTAGTTTCCTCCTCTCAGTGATTGCAATCCCCTCCATGCAACAACAGTCATCTAGCTTCCTCCCTGTGCTCCTGATTTCCACTGCACCCTCCTTCCCATTCCGTCTCAATTTTGTCCTTAGGTAAATGTTGCCCTTTTAATCTTGAATGGCTGACTATTCCATGGTGAGCAGACCTTTCTAATGTTGTAACCCCTATACACCTATCTACTTCTTGGCTGAAAACTGGGCCACAAGGGTGAGTTCCATTCAGACCTGAAATGTGGCCAAGGGTCACAGTCTAGGGTTCCTCCAGTTTCTTTCTGACCAGTAAGCCAGGTTGTCTTGTTGTTGTTTTTTAACTTCTATTTGCATTTTATTGCAAGCCTAATTTACTCCCAAGCCATAAAGTTTTGTATCTTCAGTTTCTTCTGGGATATCTTTTTCTTCTGTGCAACCTCCTCTTCTGGTTTAGGAACAATGTGTTCCTTTTCAGTCCAGATCATCTCAATATGTCAGGGGGACCTCAAGTAGGGGTTGATCCGACCATGAGTTCTGTAAATTTGGCGATGCATCTTGGGGGCTTTGTTGACCTGGATGTGCTCAATGACCAGAGAATCCACATCTAAACCCTTGAGCTTAGCATTGCTCTCTGCATTTTTAAGCATGGGCAGCAAAAATTCAGTGCTGTTTTTGGGCCACCAACCCTGTGTCCAACCCTACTGTTGGGCCTAGGCACCCCTACCAACTCTACCACTGTAACATCAGAAGGTATACATTGCTTCAACAAAGTGACGTTTTATACACACATGATGAATTTTCAGAGATGCATACCCTTGAGGCCTTGGCTGTTTCACAAGTGTTCTTAAAATGAACCCAAAGATTTGAACCTCTTGATTTGCATGATTTTGTGGGGTTTTCTGGGTCAAATGAGTAACAAACCATTGTGTGAGATTACCTTAGACCACTTACAGGATGAACAAGCCCAATTGTTTTTAATAATTTGAGTTTTATTCCACATTTTCTTCCATTTTCTCCAGGACCCTCTAATATGATCCCATTCAGTGTCCTTGCTAGTGGTAACCAGGCACCGTCTAGTTCTTCAGGTCTCAGAGTTGTGGTGACTGATGTTCATGTATTCCATAGGACCACTGGACTGTTTGAGTCCATGCATTTTCAGTTTCCAGCACTTTTCTTTCTTCCACACATGGAGAGACCAAAAGTTGTATCGTAGATGGCTACTCATAAGCTTTTAAGATTCCAGATGCTACTCACCAAAGTAGGATGTAGAACATTGTCTTTTTGGACTGTTATGCCAATTGACCATGATGTCCCTGGAGTTCTCAGATTCAACAACTCATTGCATTAAGATGCTGGGCAATGTCTAAGAAGTTTTCATCATTTTGCCTGTTGTATGCTCCATTACATTCATAATCATGTTTCAGGAAAGGTAAATATCCATGTACAAATATCCTCTGACAAATCCTTATTTATTCGTGAGTACACTCCTACTCTCCCTACCATACCCATTTAGCCTGTGTATCTGTCCATGTATCTGCCCGAAGCACACTGTTGTTAAAGGCTTATGTATGTAACAGTATTTTCCTCTAGCCCCTTTAACCCTTGCATTCCTCCCTGTGTCTTCACCTGTCTTCATCATTCTTCTGCCAACCATCCTCTTGTTGTGTACTGTGTAACCCAAGTTAACAGGTGTCTAGTCTCCAGACAGTGAATTACTCCCCCTTCCCTCCCACTCCTGGTAATCATAAAGGAATGTTTAGTTTGCTTTATTTTAAAACCAGTTCTATAGATCAATAAAAAATATGTCTAAGTGGAGCACCAGCTCATTATAGTCAGGCATCTTCATATTTTAGTAAATTAAGTTTTACTAGTCACAAAAGCATTTGTTCCTTCACTCCACGCATTTGGTATATGCTTCACTCTCAGAGGTTACTAAGACTACAAAACCAGTAAGACACTATCCTTGCCCTCCAGAGTAAAAACTCTAAAATTATAAAGCCATAAAATAATTATAGCTTTATATTATAAAAATTATAAAGTAATTCAAACAGTTGGTTGTGATGTGACATGAAATTGAACAGATAGATCAATGATACAGAAAAGAAAGCCCCAAAGCCAATTTTAGTATATATAAAATCTAAATATATAATAATGATTAACTTAAAAAAAAAATTACAAACTTACTTACAATAATTGCAATACATTGAGTATTGATATCAATTAAACCACAAAAGACAGAAGGAGCCCTGGTGCGGTGCTGTAGGGTAAGCACTGGTTGGTGGTTCAAACCCACCAGCCACTCCTGGGAAACCCTATACAGGGTTGCTATGAGTTGGAACAAATCAACAGCACTTAATAACAACAACAAACCATATAAATAGTCAATATTTGTTTTGACCTACAAAACAGCTATTTCATATGAGCTAACCTAATGTAATAATGGTACAAGCATAGAGAGCTATGCTAAGTGAGCAAGCTTCCCCACTTACCTGCTCAATTTTGACAGCATTAACAATGATCTCTCTGACCCTTTCTTCTGAAGGCTTGTTTACTAAGTACTGAAACATCAGGCATGCAAAGTCACAATGGAGTCCCTAAAATAGGAGAAAAATACCATTAACAATTAACCTTCAATCATCTATTTGAACAGTGAGGTATCAGGCATTGCATAAAGTAAGTTCAGAAAGAGTAACAAGGAACTTCTGAAAAATAAAAGAGGAATTTAACAGGGCCAGAAATATCTTTCCTTCAAATTCTTCCTTTAGAATGCCAGTACAATAACCTATAATGAAACATTCTCAGTGTCAACAATTTTAAGTTCATTAATATTAAGGACGAATTCATCAACAACAAATCTACAACCAGCAAAAGCATTTTGCAACATAAAAGAAAAGCAAAACAAGAAGAGTTGATAGAAAATCCATCAATTTTTAAATTTCAAAAAAATTTAAGGAGTGATTGAAAAATATTAAGTATTTTAAGAACAGGTGAAATACACTAAGAGTTTTCAAAATGACAACATTTACGTTAGATACAAATGTTATTATTGTTATTGTTGTTGTTAAGTGCCCTTGAGTTGGTTCTGACCCATAGGAATCCTGTACAGGATTTCCAAGAAGCAGCTGAGGGGTCCAGTACACATCCTACAGCACTACACCAGGTAAGAATAGCTCAAGATAAAACCAAATTCAATTCAACGAAGCCAAGACTTAAGAACAGCATTAGAAGCTGTATAAATCATAAGTTACACTACAAATAATTCAGCTGGAGAAGAAAACAAACTTGTGGAATTCTTGAGAGCAGAATATTATATAAATAAAATAAATGTTACAAAATAGAATGCAATTGGAGAACAAAGCAAGAAGAGTCAACCTCCAATAATCAGGAATCTATAAGCACACACACACACACACACACACACACACACACACACAAAACCAACTGGAAAACAAAAGACAGTTTTCAAACTTTCAAAACAAAAAAGAAAAAGAGGCCAGAGACAGAAAGATAGCGTTCCAAACAAAATTAAGTCAGAGACTGACACCAAGGCAGTCAAATAACATTTCTAAACTACAAAGAAAAACGAGTAATTTTCTAACTAACGTGGGAGGAACCTGGAGGCACTTTATAAAGGATTACTAATCAGAGTTGCTTAGGTTTTTCTAAATGCATCAACAAAACCCAAAGATAATTGAAAGGTCAGACCCTCATATCCAAGGTTGTACTTCAAGGATTATTTACTTAGTCATCATTCCCAGAATAAACCATCAGAAAAAAAATAATAAGACCTTTTTAAACAGCTTGTCTTAGGAAATTTACAAGTGAAATAGCTTTCCCATACTCGACTCTAGGGGATACTTCAAATTACCAAAGGCTGGATTTAAAGTAAAATGCTGAAGATGTTAAAGGAAGCATTTCTTAGAAGTGACAAGCTAGCTATTGTTAGAGAGATGCATACTTGTTAGTATAAGTGAATAAATTTAATTCTGAGGTTTAAAGCAATTCCAATAAAAATCTCAATGGGATATTTCACATTCAAAAATTTATCTGGAAGTGTCCTGAAAAGGAGACGCTGAGATCTGCAACCATTCGGGAACCATGAGTCCTGCTGAGGATGCGGATTCTACAGGCAAAATCTAGAGGACTTTCTAGAGCACTTAGCAACAACATATAAGAAAGAGGGGAGCATGGTGGCTCTGTAGGATAAGCACTGGTCTGTTAACTACACAGTCAGTGCTGTGAGCCCACCAGTCACTACACAGGAGGAAGATGAGGCTTTCTGCTCTCACAAAGATTTAGTCTCGGAAACCTTATACTATACCACTATGAGTGGGAACCAACTCAACAGCACTTGACAACAACAACATATAATAAAGAAGGCAACGAGAGTTGATGGAGAAAGGATAGAATTGGAAAAACTGCCCAAGAGTAACTGAAATAAAAATAAGTTAAATTCTAACACCATGTTGTTGTTGTTAAGTGTTGTCAAGTCAATTCCAACTCAAAGCGACCCTGTATAGGGTTTCTGAGGAGTGGCTAGTGGTTAGCAGTTCATGCTTATCCTACAGAGCCGTACCAGGACTCCATATACCACATACTAGTATGAACAAATTCCAATTGCACTAGACAGCTAAATGTTTAAAAGTCAGGAAGGAAATATATATGATTATTAGCCTTATGTGTGGATGTGGACCACATTAAATTTAAGGTTTTTATATATTAGAAGAAAAAAAAATTTAATTGAAAAGAAAAGGACACTCAAAAGTAACAAAATAAAAGGATTTTTTTAAAGCAAAGGACAAATTGGGGGAAATATTTGTAAAAAATAAATAATAAATTCAATAAGTAGACATTTGGTGGAAGAAGCTAATCAGTCACTGCGTAACACTGGGATTATCCCAATGACCTGGGCAACTGAAAACACACAAATCATAGAAGACAAAATAGATGATTGGGACCTTCTAAAAATTGAACACTTATTTATGTGCATCAAAAGACTTCACCAAAAGAGTAAAAAGAAAGCCCAAAGACTCAGAAAAAATATTTTGCAATGATATATCAGACAAAGGATTGATATCTTAAATTTACCGAAAACTATAACACCCCTACAAGAAAAAGACAAACAACCTAATTTAAAAATGGGCACAGGACATGAACTGTCCCCAAGGAAGATACTCAAGTAGTCAACAAACATATCAAGAAATGTTCATGATCATTAGCCATTGGTGGTAGTGTGCTGTGGAGTCAGTTCCAACTTATAGCAACTCTGTATAGGGTTTCCGAGGCTGTACATTTTTATGGGAGCAGAAAGCCTCATCTTTCTCTTGCAGAACC